ACACGGGCAGCGTTCCAAGCGTCGGAAATGCCACGATGACGCGCGCAATCATCTGCGCCTACCGCCTCGCCTCTCTGGCCGGTGACAGCGAATCAGACGACGACCTCTTCAGGCTCGCCTGCAGGCTCAGTTAAGAGCAGTATTTCCAACTCAACTCTCGCAGCAAGTAGCGCGAGTCTGAGCTCAGGACCAGTTCTGCTGCCAACGGTGGCTACAGGAACAGGATCGAGCGAGCCGTCGGGCGCGTTGGTCTCTACCGGTTCATCAAAGGCCAACGCCACGATCACGGCCAATCCGGCGGTGACCTCGCCTTGCGCCACCATTACCATCACCAATGGAACAGTAACGCAGATCATCACAAAGACCGTGATGGCGTCTGACGAGTCGGCGTCCCGGGCCGGGAGTTGGTCTTCCGAGGTTGCGTCGCTGACAGTCAGCAAGGCGGCGTGCAACTCGACGACCAGAGCAGGACCATGGACGGGCTGCACGTCAAAACCGCTCTTGGCCAATTCCACGTCGTCGACAAGCCTCACGACAGTGGCTTCGTCATCAGGTCTTGCGTCGTTTGACTCGAGTGGGTCGGTGCCTGAGACTATCGAAACTTGTAAGTAGAGACGACCAACACACGATGTGGTGCTTGTGAGAAGCACCGGCTGACACACCTGTTCGTTAGCAACATTGCTGCCCACCTTTGACCTCACGACCTTCACAACCTCGACCATGAGCAGTGAGGATCCCGATCCTCCGCAGGGCACACCCACGACGACAGAAACGGGCAAGCCCCTGCCCTCCAGTCCCAATTACCCCTGGGGCGGGCTGGGTCCTCTGCACCGGCACCAGAATGTGACCAGCGTGGGTCGGGGGCAAGAGTCGGAATTAGAGGACGGAGCAGGGGTTGCGTCGGTCGTAGCTAGAGGTGCGTGGTGGTCGAGGTGGAAGACGCACGCGGACAGATTGCAGAGCCGATGGCGGAAGACTTGAGTTGACCATGACGAGGGAGATGGTGCTGTAGAATGAATGATTGATTCCTATGCCGCAAGGGAGTGCAAGTGCAGGCTTTACCTGTTGGGGACGACGCGTCTGACGCGTGCCGTTTGGGGTGCGTAGGGTCCATCGTGAGCTTGCTTACTCATCGCGTGGGTAAGGTGACTTGTGGAGAGGAAGCTGCCGCCTGGAAGTGGCTGCCTCGAAATGATCCGGCTGCACAATGCTCACTGCGACCGATCATAATAAAAACAAAAGTCCATGGATCTCAATCAGCGCGTGTGTCATTCTGTAGTTTATCATAAATACTATAAAAACATGGTTGGTATCCACTATCAATCGCACGTCTCAAGCTTGACCTCGCAGCACGACTCGGTGACAATCATCTTCCCCGACTCCGGTTGACTTGTGCTCCTATTCAAGGGCGGCACCTCCGTTTCAGCAGGCACAGATTCCAGGTCGCAATCAGGCAGAGGCACGAGAGCTGCCAGGCGTCCTGAGCAATCCTTGCATCCTGGGCAGAGAATCTCGGGCACCTCTCCATCGAACAGCTCTTCGCGAAAGACGTAGTAGTCTCGGTAGTACTTCCACTCCTGCAGGAACTCGACCCAGTATACAAGCTGTTCGACGACCCAGCAGTCCCGGAGACGCTCTGATATCCAGTCCGGCATCTGTCCCGTAGAGGACGATGTTGATGATGATGACGATGAAGACGACGACCCCGCGAGAGCCGTCTGGCCTCCAATCTCAAGACCACGCGCCCTCGCCGCATGCCAGGCGGCTAAGAGCTCTGGTCGCAAGTCGTTGGCCCGCTCTGTCGTGTAGTACACAAACTCGGCGGGCCGGCCCGTCGTCTTGTAGTACGGTATCGCACCCCATTCCACAACAGCGCGCTGCGTCTGGTCCGGCTTGTCCTTGCCGGGCGTCGATACGTGCACGACACGGACGGTGCAGCGTGTGCACTTGGGCTGGGCCAGAAATGTGGGCACAATGGTGGCCAATGGTGGGGTCCTCGTCCGTGGATGAAGAGGTGCCGACTGTGTCCTGGGCTGCTTCGGCCTAGACGCTCTCCGGGGCGGACTTGACGATGGCGATGGCAACATCATGTTTGGCGGTGAACGCTAGCTAGGCTTGTTGGGCCTCTGGCCTTGCCCCACAAGTGCCCGAGTAGCTCTTCGATTTCTTGTCCTTCTTGTCAGCCATTGCTCAGGCATATGCAGTCTGCCTCACGGAGCGCCTTCTTACGATCTGCCCGACTTAGTCTACAACACAGAGCAAGCAAAGCAACTGAAGTCTTCTTGTTGGATTGCTTGGTCCCTCTGAGCGGGGACTCGATTGTGGAACGTGGAGCGTGGAGCGTGGAGCAGGGGAGCGCCGGGAGTGCGGGAGCGCGGGAACGATGGCAGGGGGGCCTTGGCGGAGCGTAAGAAGCCAGAGAGCACGGCGCAAACAGTTGGGCATCACAGACGCGAAAAGGGGCAAGATTCTTGCAATCGTTATGGGCCAGGGAAGCCGGTACTAAAGACGGTTTCTTCATCGCGACCGGCTGCGATCGCCTGCAGCTTGCCCTCCTGCAGGCCATCACCCCGACCCTCGGTCACGCATCTCGGTCCACATACCTCGCAGCCACAGTGCAGCCCATGTCTGGTCACTCCGAGGTCCAAGGCACGCAGACCGATCAACCAGGGCCAAGCAACAGACGCAACAGACGCAACAGACGTGTCGCCGGCACCTCGAGCAGCCAGCATGAGGAAGGTGTGCCTTGCCCTCGACAGTAGATTGACAGGGGTCAAAGGCACGCTACCGACGACAGGCCTTTCTTTTTCTACTTCACCGACACTGCAGTGCTACATTGGACACTCCCTTCCCGTCTCTCTTTTCTTCCTCGTCGCTTTCTCTTCATCCAACAATGCCTGCGAGCGTGGACTCAGACACGGAACACAAGGTTGCCACACCCCCCACCCCCCGCGTCTCCCCCCCTCCCCCGCCAGAGAACAAACTTGACCCCAGCAATGTCGACCCCAGCCTGTCTCACGTCGTGTCCTTATCTCCCCTGAAGTTCTGAGTTCTGCGAGGCCTGGACGCCAGAAAGCCAAGAAGTGAGCAAACATAGCAGCGAACGATGGACAGTACCAGGGGATGTTCCTTACGTCCCGTCGAAATGCTGGTTGCCTTGGTATATCGGTCGTACCATACAAGTACCTTACCCCCCATGCCTTGCCAGACGCTCATGCGGCCTGTCCAAGCCTGTCTCACATCACTGGTCCTGGCGCCTGCAAGGTAAGCCAGAGCAGAAATCTAGACCGCGGCACAGGACCATCAGCTGACACTCGTGGCAGACGCCTGCCTCGTTGCTTTTCTCCCCGGAATGATGACGGCCATCCCCTCAGGCTCGCGCATTTTTTATCATGTGCTTTTCAGAGCGCAGTCATATGCCAGTACGGCCGCCTCCTTAACCGGCCTAGTCCAGCAGCCAACGGCCTTGGATTCACGAATCTCGATAACTCCCGATGCCCCGTCCGCGCGCTAAACCGTGCCGACAACGTCTTGGCGGCCCGTCCGGCGGTCCATCCCATCTCTTCTTCCTTTCCATGCTGCTTCCTTGCCAACCCCCCCACCCTCTTCACCGTGCCGATACCAACCACACCAGCCCGGTCGAAACCCCTGTACAGCATCCACTACAGGTGATATGACCGATGGATTGGGGATTTGTCTTTCTTGTGCTCCGCTCTGTCCCGTTCAATGGGTGCCTGCGCTGACTGACCGGTCGAACCCGACGACCAGGCGAGTGGTATTCATGTCTGTGACAATTCCGTGTTGCCCCCCTGGTGCAGTAGTGTGCTTTGGCCAGTTTAACGCCTGCCGTTCCTCTCTCCACCACCCTAAGCCACATAGCATTCCTACTTTTCATTTACTCATCAACAGACTTTGCGACGGGGTTCGAACAGTCCCCGTCCCAACCATGTTGGCATAATCTCGAATACGGGCTGAGGCTTGTTGGCTCCATCAGAGGCGGATTGGACGTCTCTCCTGAGACGAAAGGCACAGGCCCTGGGCATGCCGCTGGTGGTGCTTGAGTGACCGTAGACGTATCCAATCGCTTTAACTTCTTCACATCTCGAGGTGACAAGCGCATTCACTTCATTACCAATGCGTCAAAGTAGCATTCACAGCAACAATAGCTTGATGACTAGGCTGGTAGTGAATGGACGCCAGGTCTCCGCCTCCTTGCAGAGCATCAACTGTCTTTTCTCCCTCTTATGAGACAGGGCGGTGCGCTCCTCCCTCGATGATGCCAGGGGCGCTTGCCGTCGACGCATAATCGCCGACAAGGCTCGGGAAAAAGCAAAGAGGAGGTTATCCACCACCCCCCAAATTCCTCCCATGCTGCTCTGGCAGTACATTGCCCAAGGGGCGGCGAATAGAACACGCCCTGGTGGAAAACACGCACACAAGCCGCCGGACCGTTGCCATCGTTGGCGCCCCTCCCCTACTTGGCACAATTCCCATTCAGACTATCCTTGTTTTTTTGCCCAAGACTCCCGTGCCTGTGGCCACTGTCTCAAATCCGTCACTTTTCACTACCGCCTCGAGGACTTCCAACGCTACCCTGGGTCGTCATTCTCCTGCTGCCCGTGGAGGAATCGCCTTGTCACCCAGGCGAATCTTATTTGACGACGCCAAGTGACACAGTCCGGCGGTTCAGTTCCGCAGTCTCAGACCTCGGAGTCAAAGCACGACATACAAAGTCCCGAATGTCCTCTCCCACCTGCCTTCTCCACAGGCTTTCTCATTAGAGGGCATCAATCTTCGTTCAGAGCTTTCGAACGCTTCTTTCTCCACATCAAACCCATATCGGTTGACCTCGAATCTTCACCTGTCTGCACCCCAACCACGACTATCGCTCGTCAGATCCCCACACACAACACATCAAGCATCACCTGCACAGCATTTGTCGCCCACCAAGCAGAGCCGCCGCCGCCACCACCACATTCCCACTCCCACGCCTTTTCGAAACAATTCAGCATGTGTGAATGGTACCGCCGCGAATTCGGCTGTCGCCACTACCTCATCGGCGCCGCATCGTGGTGTCCCGACTACAGCCGCACCGGCCGCCGCTGTGAGGTCCGCGTCGTGTACATCGACTACTCCGCCGGCGACTGTACTGGGTGCTCCAACCGCCGCACTGAAGAGTCTGTTCCATGGGAACACATGATCAACCGCTCTCGCTGCGGGTGGCCTGAGAGCAGACTCACCGGCAAGGTCTTGCCTTAGTGCGGGCCGTCGTCCTATCCCCGTGGAGAGATGACGACCACGTCATGACGAATTGGACATGGAATGTCAATATCTATTTGAAACTCTTCCCGCAGGAGGTAGAGTTGGTTTCTTGTTTGTTTTTTCTTGCTGTTTTTTTAGGGGTGTTTACGCCCATCGTCTTTCTATGGTCTGGGTACTGGGAATCATGATCGGGGCGTTCTGGGTGTTGCTTCTTAGAGCGACTTGGGCTATCAGACGCCTCCTGGGACGAAACAATATGGCCACATCAGTGTGTTTTCCGGGTTTGTTTCTCTTTCTTACTGCCGATTTTCTTTCTCGTGTGCGTTTCTTCCATCCTCATCCTCTTTCGGAGAGTCTGGATCGTACGACTTAAGGCAACTGGGGGAAATTGGGGTTCAGGAATACGGGATATGGGATGTGGGATTTTTTTCTTCTTGGAAACTGCAACATATACCAAATGGTCGTTATCAGGGTCGCGGCCAAGGCACAAATTGCCTGAAGGGAGAAAAGACGCCTATTGTTCATGTATCACACAGGGCGTGCGAAGGACTCGTTCCTCCTTGCCCATGACCCCCGATGCTGGGCTTCGGGGCTCAGTATAAATAAATATTGCCCAGCAGGTATACACACACACATTCACTCACACGGTCAACTCGCGTTTTTCAAAATGATCCGCTTGACTTGATATTGTAAACGCACGAGCTGGTTACACGGATGCGGGTGATGACAGATTACCGATTGCCTGTGGGCATAGTCGATGTGTACGACCAACACACAATGGCATTCCGTCGAATCGTGGTTTTGGTACGAGAAAGCGTGACACGGCATGACCGGGAAAAGATAGCTTGAATGAAGTATGCAGCCGCCCGACAAGGCTGCTGATGGGATTCGCGACGCGTTGAGCATCGATCAGGTGAGGGTTCAGAGATGCGGCCCAGCCTTTGGGCCAAGACATCTGGCCTCAGAAGGCAGGGAATTTATGTTCATGGACAGGGAGTCTCTTCGGCTTGTTTGCTCCCGTCATATAGACGCTTCGTGGGTTTCCCGTCTACAGCCGAGACGTCAAATGCGGCGTACACTCACTCACTCACTCACTAACTAGGTGTCCAGAGATGAACATCAGACAGAACCTATATATTGCGTATACCTGGGTCATTGACGCCAATATACTCTCTCTAATCAATGTGAATAACAACCACACGCTCTTTGGAATGGATATTCTCTTAATTGAAGCAGAATGGAACAAAAAGGATGGGCGCCATCCGGGGATTGAACCCGGGACCTCTCGCAAGCTATGCTTCAGGGTGTGGCCCTAAGCGAGAATCATACCACTAGACCAACGGCGCGTTCAGAACAAATCCCTGACTGAGTCAGGAGCCGGTCGATGGAAACCGAAATCTGAGGTAGAGTATATGTAGCCATATATCTATCAATCATGCCTCCGACAAAGCGATTTTCACAAAGCCGATCCCGATCTCTGCATCAAGTCCACTCGACGGCTCGAGATTTTCATGCAAACTCGATCAGGCATCCAGGATAATGGGCTTTGAGATCGATAGGATTAAGTGGTGATGCCTGGATAATAATTTGACCTCTCGCTCCCTAATTATTGCCACAATCCTACATCCACCGTGACATACAAACTAGAGGAGTACATATCCAGTAAGGGAGCAGAAATGACTGCAAAGCAATCCATATCCCCCCGTATTCAAATGGCCGCTTCTAGTATCGTAGTACATAGTCAGTCTCTCTGTAGAACCCACTTCAGCCCCTTGACCATTGCTTCCTCAGCTTCGACCGCCCGTGGTAGAGCCGGCGCCTTGAGCCAGAATGTATGAGGCCATCCTTCCACGACGTCCACTTCGACCTCAACTCCCGCCTCCTTCAGAGCCATGGCATAGCAGACGCCGTCGGAGTAGAGCGTGTCGTTCGTGCAGACCTGCACCCATGTCCTGCCGAGCCCGCGTAGCTCATGTATGCTAGCCTCCAGCGGCATCCGCTCTAGGCCATCTCGAACCTCCTCGCGCCTGAACACACCGAGAAGTACATTCGCAAAGCACTCGGTGGCGCTCGTGTACGCCGGTCGCAGCCTTTCCGGGACGTGCTCGATATTGCTGCCGCCGTCGCTCGTTACAGGGCATCGGAGTACGGTGCCAGTGAGTGGTCTCTCTAGCACTAACTGCTGCACGCTTGTGGCCAGCACGCCGCCGCTCGAGGATCCGACAACCACGAGCTTCACGTCAGACGGCGCGAGCTTGATGATGGCGCGGATGGCGTCTACGCTGTCTGAAATGCATGTCGATGCCGGGTGCTTTGGCATCAGTCTGTAACCGACAGAGTAAACGGTGCTGTTCTGGACGTCTTTGACGATGCGTCGGCACGAGAGCTCCTCACTGTCCGCCTCGCCGACGTAAAGGCCGCCACCGTGGTAATATATGACGACCACCTTGGGATCAACCACTCGGATATGCTTGAATTGAAGGATAGGGATCTCATAGTTGTCTAGTGTGGAAGGTGTGGTGATGTGCGTCGTCGTGATGTCTTCAGAGAGGCGGTGGAACGGAGCACCCTGCACCATTAGCTTTGCGTGGAGTTGACGACATTCTTCCGCGTAAACGGGCTGACGCTCGACTGGCGACGCGTAGACCTTCTTGGGTGCCTTCAGGTCCGCATCGTCTTCGTAATGAAGCCATCCTGCATCTAGTGGCGGTGGAGACGAGAGGACGAGGCTAGAGAAATGATTCATGCTGAAGATGTGTGGTGCTTGTGCACAGGTGATCAAAATGATGGGACCGTAAATGCTGTATAAGAGATCCTCAAAGCTTGCCAGGTTGTCATAGATGTTAACAAACGCCGATGTCAACAATGGCTCACTTGAGCTCTTTAGTTGATTTTGCGGCTAAGAATTTCGCACCAACGGCAGCCTGCCATTTAGCCGGATATCCGGGACCTAGGCGGTAGCCCAAGATCTTGCGATGCCCTTTCTCGCCGGCGCGATAGCCATTCCCGCGAATTTCATCCGCCCCCCGTTGATTGACGTATAACTGAGTGACACACTATCCGGTAGTGGTGTTCAGCTTCCTAGAAATTGTCAATTGAGCGATCATAGGAGAACCGGACCTTCCGAAGTTCTCTGTCATTCCAAAATTCGTAACAACCATCACAGTAACAACGAGTATTGTGCGTGAGCACGCAATTGTGAGGACGGCGCGATTATGATTGATTCCCCTTCTTAGGACATCCGCTCTCTTATTTACCATGCTACAGTACACAAAGGGAATCGAGTAACAGTCGCATCGTTTACAGCACAGAGAGATCGCCGAACTTCTCCTAAAGGGGGGGTTAACAATGTCGATAAATAGTGTCAATGTTGATTCGAAACGTACCTTGTATCCCGGCACGGACCAGCGGGCCTTGGCAACGAGCTCGGCAGTCTTCTTCTCGACCTCGGGCACGGCCTTGTTGAAGTCGTCCTGCGCGCACATTTCATCAGTAACCCCTTCTTTGGCTTCAGAGATGCTGGCGCCTGGTGAAAACATACAACAGTGATGTCCTCGAACGGCCTGGCGGTCTCAATGTTGGACAGAGTCTTCTCGAGATCCTTCAGCTCGAGGCCGACCTTCTCCTTGGTGGCCTCGGCGTTCTTGACGGCCTCGACCTCAAAGGCCTCGATGGCCTTGAGCTGACGAGAGACATCGTAGGCGGCGGGCTTGTGGGCAGTGAAACGCTTCTCGATCTCGTCGACAACGGCCTGGTTCTTGAGGACAGAGCGGTAGTGCGCGAAGTCGACGGCGGTAGGGAGCTCGGAAAGCTGCTGCACCTTGCGGCGGGCGTCCTCGTTGCGCTTCTTGAAGGCCTGGAGGGAGGCGACGGTCTGGCCCCGAAGGTTGAGGGAGCTGGTGACCTTAGCCCAGTCGAGCTTGAGCGCTGCGCTTCGCTGTTCGGGTAGGAGGAGAAATTAGCTCAGTGTTCATCGAGGCGCGTCCGCGAGGCCAATCGATGTCCACATGACAAAATCGTCGATGCTCGTATCAATTGCCAAGTTCATCTACAAAAGCGACTTACTGCGGCCATCTTGAAGGATTGTTGGGGGATTGCGAGGGTTGCGTAGGGAATGGCTTCTGTCGTGAGGTTGGCTGCTAGATCGACTTTGCCGAAGAGCGGGAAAGATCCGGACGACATTTGATCACGTGATACGACCTCCCGATTTGCTACATCAAAGTCACGTGCGGGCACCCATCCCAAGCCACTGTCTCATCATTGACTGTATGCGAGCCTACACTCAGAGGATTAATTACATGCCGCCGTCTGGCAACAATTCTGATCCCGCGCTACTCTTTTCATAGATGATGGGCGAAATCAAGTCGAAGAGAAAGTACACAAGCGACGCACAGGAAATCAAGAGTTGGTTCGGGGTTGGCTTGAAGCGAACGACAGCCGCTTATAACCTTTTGGTTTCCTGCGACTGGCTTCCAGATGAATGAATTTTGGTTGTCGTCAGACTCCCTAGGCATGGTCTATGGCCTACCCATCCGTCCTCTCTGTTACGCTCATGCATCATGAGATCAAAAGCCTTCAATAATCATTTCTCCTTCACCCCATGGCAGCGTCCGTTAGATACTCAGCGCCATGATGGAGTTGACGATATCGTTGTCGTTTTCCTTCAGGGCCTTGATAGCCTTGTTCCGGCTCACGCTGGCCTGGGTCATAACCAGCTCGATGTCCTTGTCCTCAATGCCGGTCGCGTCGACTTCCTCCTCGTCATCCTCCTCCTCCTCCTCGTCCTTCTTGCCCTCGGCAGCGGTGGCCTTGCTGGACTCGCCGTGGCTGTGGCCGGCGTGGTCGTGGTCGGCACCGCCAGCGGCGGCGAGCTGCTGGGCAGCGGCCTGCTGGGCGGAGGCGTTGAGGTCCTCGATCTTAGCCTCACCAAAGACACTGTTATGGGTTAGCTCTGGGCGCGGGAATCGGCATACTGCGAATCACTCACATGTAGGTGTTGCTGTTGGGGGACTTGTAGACCTCAGGGCTGTTGATAACGAACAGGATCTGCGAGGAGCCGTCAGCATGACCTTAATTACAAAAACGAACAAACATCGGTTCAGCGCATCGACGTACGTTCTTGGGGCGACGGAGAGTGACACGGGTGATGCCCTCAATCTTGGTCAGGTGCAGCTTCTCGAGGGAGCTTGCGGGCCCTTCTTTCTCGTTGCGAGACTGAACGAGAGTGGTGGAGCCTCCCGGAAAGGAATCTTCGGCCCTCGACCTCCTCATCAGAGCTCTCATCATTCTTCGACCTCCTCAATCTGGGGTCTTTCTTGGCCCTCCTTCGTCGGAAGCTCTTCAACGCGGGGGTTTCGCCATGTGTCGGTGTAGGAACTGCGTCGGTGGTGGTAAAGTGTCAGCCTCGTGAGCTTTGGGCAAATCGCAAACGATGATTTGGTGGGCTCGGATGCAAACTGGTCGCTGGCGCGGGCAAGAGAAATTCCGCCATAGCTCCCGCACACGTCCGATCAAGCCCACCTCGTTGGAAATTTGAGAATCGATTGAATCGGTGGGATTTACTCACGGAGGATAGGGATTCAAGGATACGTCACTGCTCTGTTTCGAATTCTCGCTCTTCGTTGTGGTGAGGAAGCAACTTGGTAGCAAGGGAAATCTGCCCGTCTCGGGAACCCTAACGGATGAGTAAGGCACCTTAGGTAAGTTTGTCCTCCAAACGAGATGCGGGACCCGCTCTTGCCCACCCCCCTCTTGTGGTCCAATCGAGCATTGCAAGTGCAATTCCCAGAGACGGGCGACACTGGTGGTCAAGAAAAAATTGCGGAGCATCCGGATCCAACTGGCTTCACGTGTGCTATCGCTTTGTGGTTGAAAGGGGACGTCATTTCTTAGGATAAGGTAGGTATGTCATGGATGCGCGACGCCGCAGCGTCTGTGCAATGGTTTGCCATGAAGTTCATTTTTGTCTCTGATTTCCGTATCGACGCCGAATCATCTTGATGATGAATGTGACATACAGCCCGTCCAGTACGGAGCAAAAAGAGAACGCAGCAAGCCACATGCTGCCCTTATGATGCAGTCCAGTCCGGGTTTCCATGCCGTTCCACGCTCTAAAACCAGCCTTCTCCGTTTGTGTCGTCCCCCATCCCCATCCTTCTCAAGACCTCGAAGCGCAGGTCATGATGCGCTTATGCCGCAGCCTTGACCTTGGCGAGAGACTTGCGCTCCTCGAAGCGGCGCTGCTTCTTGAGGCGGAGAACCTTGAAGCGGTCGAAGTCGGTCAGGTTCTTCCTCCGCTCGATCTGAGTGCGGCGCTTGAACCAGCTGGTCTCCTTCCACTTCTTGTCGATCTCGGAAGCCTCCCAGGCCTTCTTCAGGGTGCCGTGGCGGGCGCCGCGGGGGAGCTTGGCGACAACCAGGGAAGAGAGAAGGGCGGCGGAGAGAGGAAGCGCTTGGCGGGGAACAGCGAGCTCGGGGTCTGAAGAGGGTCCGTCGACCAGAACCTGCAGGTGCGCGATGTGTTAGTCATTTCTGTTCCTTCGCAGACGGAGACGTTTGACGACTCCTCCGAGGATTGAAATCGGATTCCAACATACGCGCTTGTGGTCGATGATCTCGACGATAGCGGCGAGGCGGCCCGCGTACGGGTGGTTGCCCTCAATGAGGACGACGCGGCCGACCTCGACCAGGCGCCACTTGGATCCCTCGATGGTAGCGTCACCCATTTTGATGTCGATCTGGTTGCTGATGTTAGAATGTCGAGGGATCGAAGCGAGTGTTGTTATTCGTGAGGGTGTTGTTGCTTACCCGAAGTCCGTATCAAAGTACTTGGTGGTGGTTGTCGATGTGGAAAGGTTCACTTCGCTGCCACAGAACCTGGAAAGTCGCTTGGAGTAAATTGGCGTGTGGGCGAAAAACCCAGGGCCCTATTGACTCCACTTTGTGGCCAGCCGCGGTGGAAGGACGCAGTGGCGGTCGGTTGTTATTCGGGAAAACGTCCATCCTTGCGCCGTGACACAAGAAGACTAGCGCTTCTGCATCCCGTCAACGGGCCGGAGAGGTCCACCCAGCAACTGGCGGAAATTTCTCTGGGCTCCTACCAGCATAAATTCTGCGTCTGCGCTGTCTGTCTCTTCCACGAGGCTTCACTCATCACCATCCGTCGAAGACCGCTTCTGCCAGCGCCCTGACGCGTCTGAAGCTTAGAGACTCTTCGACGGAAGAAGCTCAATTGGTACGTTATTCACCCATTTCTCTGTTCCCTTCCCGCAAGACTCAATGATGATGCAAATTTGCGATTGATTTCAGTCGATGGCTCTCTTTCGCCGGAGTGGCTATATCGGCTGAATACATGACATTCAATTCTTACATATTCTGATATGTCTTCTTTTTACACTCATCTATTATC